TTATTTATGCATACTGTACAGGGATACAGGCCAGAAGTGTGGGGGGTGAGAAGATTCACCAGAGACAGAGTGGGGTGCAGAACAGACAGATCTACTGAGATACACTGCTGAGGGGAGCAGCGGCAGGTCAGGAGAGGTCTGCGGAGCCATGTGGGCCAGCTCCCTGCCGGGGGATGGTATTCGTGCTGCAGTGGCTGCAACAGCCTCATAGTGCTATGCTTTAACCTTTGTGCCACCAGGGAGGGTCCACAAAATGATTTTAATGATCATGTTCTAATCTCCACCTCCACCTCCCGCATTCCAAGACATTTTACACAATGTCCCTAATTTTCTCAAATATTTCACATTAACATGTGGATTTTTAAAAAGTTAATTACTCTAAAACAGTGTGGGGAGGGAAATGCACTGGACTATGGTGATGGCGCACGGTTGATTTGGTGATGGGAAGCCCACAGGGATTATAACTGAGATGAAAAAATGCTCAAAATAATGTAAAGATAAACTAATATATTATTCATTTTTTTAAAAAGTTAATTACTGCATTGTAAGTCTATTCCACATGATTTAGGCTTCTAGTATTTATATATGAGTCGTGTAGAAAAATATTTGCAAAAGCTCTGAATTTTATAGTCCTTATTCATTTAATCCCATTGTGCTGTGCTGGATAGAAAAGAATCAGGTTGGCCAGCTCTGTCTGATTATTTCCTTACATTATGTATCTAGTGAACAGGATATAATCCACTAATTGTTTCTGTAGTATTCAAATCAGCCAGTTCTGTAAGCACTGCTCATCTTTGTCCTCAGCAATCTCATTCCTAATTCACACTGGGCTGGAATGGAGATTTCTCGTGTAGGTTCTTCAAGGTCTACAGGGAAAAATATAGTCACACACATGTGGAGAGCAGCCACTAGGGATTGAAAACAGAGGTGTCTGGCAAGACTTACAGATACTACAAGGTGCTTAAGGCGAAGGGTGATGAGCTTTCATACACGTTCCTTTCTCGCCTGATAAAAAGGAAGAGAAACTCTAAAAGGGTTTGAGTTACTGCCAGCAGTTCCACCATAAAGTGCCACTGGCCAGAATAAACCCCTTAACCTCTCTACTTCAGTGTCCTTGGCTCTAATAGGACAATTACTGCAATGAATTCCAACTTTTAGCACAGCCGATCAAACTGGCTGCACCGTCTCTGCCGGGCAGGAGAGCAGCCAAAGTTTACTTTTCCACAGCAAAGCTTTACGAGAAACAGTTTACAGGAGACAGCACTTTTAGCTGACGCTCCCAAAATAAACACTTGAAGGTTTTCCTCGAGCCCCCTGGCAGTTCACTCCCAGGGGCCCCTGCTCCTGCTCTAGCCTCACACCCAGGTACTGGAAAGGCTCCCACACTCGCCCACTGGCCCAGCAGCTGCCACGCTGCTGTCAGGACCAGGGCAGGGCAGCGGCTGCCAGGAGGGGCAGGGAGGCCTTCCTGAAGCCACTGGGCAGAGCCCTGTGGCCAGAGCCCGGCACCTTCTGCCCTGCTCTCCACGGGACTCCCTCCACACCCTCTATCCCAGAAACAAAAGTAATCCTTAGGAGTGACCGTTTCACGTTTTGAGGTAGATAATAATTCTGTATGAGGAAGAGTGGAGCAAGGAAGAGGAAGAGAGACAGTCTGAGCACCCCTCCTGTCTTTACTAAAGAGCACGTAAATGTACAAAGAGATGGCCTATTTATCTTCAAAATGAGAGGCGCACATCATCAAGAGTATTCACTAGTGCAGTGTTCAATTACAGAAATTTAATCTCAAGGTTTGCAGAATTAAGAAAAACCAGTACCACCCTTTCAAATTGCTAGATCTTTTGGCTATGTATAAAATGCTTCAAAATCTACACACAGAAGCAACTTTAGAAACTGTAGTTTTCAAATAAGGAAAAGTCAGATAAATGCCCACTGGATTCTCATTTCTAATCGATGCTCCCTGCACACAAAGTACTTCCCTGTGTTGCCCTTAAAGGTGCACTTCACTTCCTCTGCATCTCTACTTAGGTGTTTATTTCCTGGACTGTGTAATTAAACACCTTACTGCTAATACTGAGAAGAAAACCCCCGAATGGCTGTCCTAATTAATCTCAATAAACTCCTTTCCTAAGTCATTCTGAAAGGTATTTATTTGGGTCAAGATAAATCCCCTATTTTCACTCATATTCAGAATATGAATGATGACGTGCAGCTTTTAAATGACAATTCCCCTTTCCTCAAAGAAATCTATGCAGTAACCTCTTCTGGGAGCTTCTGGGTTCCAGGGCCCTAACTACTGTGAAATACTGAATTTCAGTGGGAAGTCCATGTGAGAGTAAGATAATAGTGAGAAACTGGAATGGTATCCCTAGGGCAGATCTTTATAAACTCTGAGTTAGCCTCAGACACAACACAAAGTTATCTAAGGGCACCTGCCGGAGAGGGTGTCTATATGTTTGTTCCTGTATGCTCTTTTGCACCATCTTCTCAAGTAACCATATTACTATCTGTTGGCCCGAAAGTCCACTGCCATTAACCAAGCCTACAAGGGCCCTCCCTGGGGGTGCATCGGGTTAAAGTGCAGCACTATGAGGCTATCGCAGCCACTGCTGCGCACGCATTCGATCCCAGACCAGGAAGGCGACACATATGGCGCGGCAGACCCCTCCTGTCCTACCCACTGCTCCCCTCACCAGTGTATTTCAGTCAGTCTGCCTGTTCTGCTCCCCACTGTCTCCGGTGAATCTTCTCACAGGCTGTACCTCTTGCCTGTACCCGTTCTGTATGTAAAATATATTTTTTTAAAAACTTACTAAGTAAACTCATATAGATTACATGTGATGACCAGCTTCTGATTTAAAATATTGCCTTAACTTCCCCCATCAACATATACTGAATAACAATCCTAAACTATACCAATTTGGAAAAGCAAAATCCAGATAGTAAGAAATATTTTTTAATATTTTTATACCTTAATTCTAAGCATGACTGCTTTTCTTTCTTGGTTTGCTTTGATGTCATTTTACTTCTTTTTGATCTCATCACTTTAAGAGCCATACTAAACATACAACCATGCAAGAGGCTCTTCCTGTTTCTGTTTTGAATTTCTCCCTCAGCACTTATTCAAGTAGCAGGCAACAAAGCTGTCTGGTGTGCTGGTTAGCATGGACATTATGATTAAATTCACACTGTCTTCACCATAAACATAGCTTCAGAATCCTCCCTAAATTCCACGTTCTTCCTCTGTTTAACAGGAAGGATAACACTACATCCTAATGTGACTATAATCAACATGAGGTAACGTACCTAATGCATCCTGAACAGTCAAGCACAGGAATAATTCAGTAACAGTAGCAATGATTTTATACATACATACATACATACATGTTGAAAATCTGGAAATGAAGAATCCTTAATTCTAGCACTCTAGTAACACAAACATACTTATTTGTAATTTATTCTTCATAAGAACTTATTTTCATTTATTATATTTGTAATATATTAATTTGATCTTTTTTGCACTATAATCTCTTACCCATATTACCACACTGGGTTCATTACTACCTTTTGAAATTTGTTGAGTAAGATTTTATTAAGTAAACATCATATTTAATTCTAGGAAAAAGTTGAGATTTTTGATATTATATATAGTACTACTAAAACATTTGCAAGAGTTTTGTTTTTCATTCTGTAGAATTTTTCTGTACACAGAAAAGCTTGCTTTCACAAGTTTGTACAATCTGTAGGTCTTCTGCCATTGTTTCTGGACATCATCGTCCTCTCCAACCTTTAGCACTAATGCTAATCTCTTACTTTTATTCAAATTGTTTTATTTAATAGTTGAAAGCATTGATCAAAGTGGATATAGAACCTCCATCTCTGAAGTAGCTATTATTAATTGCCCTCTTTCCCCAGAAGTGTGAGAATCAGAAACTTAAAAGCCACACAACAAGTAAATTGTACAACTTGGACTGAACATCAGATCCTGCCTAATATCACAGTACTTTAGCCACTTGGCTGTTATTTCTTCTTTACTTTTCTCCCTCCAAATAATAATTGGTGAGAAAAGATAGTTTTGTTGGCTTTATAACATGCAGTTGTATAATTACTAGCAAAGTTGATAATTTTTATGTTTATTTTAAGATTACATTTTCTCATTGTTTGTTTTTATTATTAGCAACTTCTGTAAAGTAATTTTGTTCCCCATTTGTTGTTTTTTTTAAGATTTATTTTATTTTTTTATGTATACAAGAGCTGGAGTGTAGTCTAGAGGTGCAGGTGGGTGGAGGCAGGCAGGTGAGAGGATTCACCAGAAGTAGAGTAGGGGGCAATAAAGGCAGATTGAGCTAATACAATGCTGAGCTAATACAATGCTAATACAATGCTAAGAGAAGTCTGCTGTGGGTCAGCTCCCTGGCAGGGGATCGAACTTGTGCTACGTGGCTGCTGTAGCCTCTCATAATGCTGAGACTTAACTCCTTGCACTATCAGGGAGGCCCCCCATTTATTTTTAAAGTAATTGGGTATGTACAACATTCATATAAGAAGCACAGGTTCTTCCAAGAGGACTTCACTGAGCTGTCAGTTGATTAGAAATTACTCTTCTTCCTGGCCCAATATAGACTAAATACAAATATGTTCTAGAAAGTTACCATGTCCATCTTTTTAACATCACTCACCCATATGATAATGGCTCCTGGCTAGTTTAGAATACCCTAATGTGAGTGAAAGGGAGTGAACCCATTTACCAAGTCCTTTGAGAATAAATTAACATTTCACTTCCCCCCACCCCCGCCTCACATTTTAATTTCTCTGCTGCTAAAATAAAGAGAAATGTGTAAGATTTTTGAGGACAGGTGACCCTGACAACTTAGCCATTATTCAAAATATATGTCCCATAAGGTACAAAAAAATCATTAAAACTTCTTCTATAGTTCACTAAACAAAATCACATAACTTAGTGAGTATACATAACCAAATTTTAAAACATGCTCATTTACCTGCATTGTGTCTTGCGATATATCCAAGTGCCCAGGCTGCAGCTTCCTTGACTCCAGGGTCGAAATCTTCCAAGCATATCACCAGTGTGTCCAGGGCACCACAGTCCACTATCGCCTGAGCTAGTTGAGGAGAGTGTTTACCAACTGCTCGTAACACAAAGGCAGCTGCTTTCTTATAAAAACGCTACAAGGAGAAAATAAACAAAACTCAAAGTGAGCTGAGCATTTATAAAAGTTAATAAAGACCAAAACCTATGTAAAAGTGACATTAATGTAAATAAAGCTCAACAGCTTTTAAATGCAAAAGGTGAATTTTTTTATAAAAAACACATGTGTAAAAGTAATTTCCTGCAAAATCCTTTTGATTTTTTTAATTTCTCCCAATGCTTTTGTTCAGTAACTGAACTAAAACAATGCTATGTCTTAAATTATACTTCAATTGTTTTACTTGAAACATGCATTTAGAAATTTTATAAAATATAAACTGTTTCCTACAAACTCAAATAATAATGAGATTTTATGCATCAGTATTACACTAAGCGGTATTTGCTTGAGAACCAATGAAGATTCTTTGTTAGCTGTGCAACAAAATTTTAGTCAACTAACACATTCATTTTTCTTACTTGTTTCTAGTCTCTAAGCATGGGACACCTTTCATGACCTCAAAGTCTTGCTAATGTTCCAAGTTATGCTGGAATAATAACATGTTCTGAGATGTACTACCAGTCATCAGATAAACATAATGGCAAACATTAAATATACATTTTAAAACGTTCCTGGTAGGTAAACTAGCCAAGTAATGAGATGCATTATTTCCACACTCTTAAAAATGCTTTTTATAGGCCCTCCCTGTTGGCACAGCGGGTTAAAGTACAGCACTAAGAAGCTAAAGCCACTTCCACATGAGTTTGATCCCCGCCTGCCCCAGAGGTGACCACATGGCGTGGCAGACCTCTCCTGACCCTCCCGCTGCTCCCCTCAGCAGTTTTCTTCGTCAGTCAGCCTGTTCTGCTCCCCACTCTGTCTCTGGTGAATCCTCTCACCCTCCGCATCTCTGGCCTGTACCCCAGTTCTGTATGAATAAATAAATAAATCTTTTTAAAAAATGCTTTTTATAAAGATATGTGAAAAAATGTTTTTCTGATTTTTTAAGTAATGTCTCATTTATAATATTTTATATACAATTTTTATCTGGTTAGATAGAAGAAAAAACTGAAGTATGAGACCACCTGTTTTGCTGCCTATAGCTAACAAAATAAAATACACAGACCATATATCTGGCTATCACACTTTGTCTTAAGGCTGACATTATAATGATACAGCAAACTTGATCTAAGATTTCCTTTTATTAAAGAACCAATCAATGCCTTTTTATTCAGTTTCTTTACCATGATGACAAACTAGTGCCCTTTTTAATTCAGTTTCTTTACAATGACAACTAATGGGTTGTCTTTTCCAACAATCCAGTAAAAAGTGAGTCCATTGCAACAGCAATTGTTTGGAAGGTATTCTATTTACTTTGGCAAAAATATTAAATACAGCAGAAACTATGAGATAGAAAATACATCAGGTATATTTTTAAACTGTACAATAGTGATGATATTGAAAATATTGTGATTTGCTATACTTTTTACTTCAAGATTAACATATATTAATATTAAAGTATTTGTTATAAACTCCAATTGTTTATACGTAGGCAAATATTATGTATTGTAAATAATCATCTTAGGGTTTAAAGTAGCTCTCCATAATTTCTCATAACTGTGCAAAGGTAATAGTGATACATTTTTTGGCATTTTCTTAAGCTCATCTGACTTTCTATACTGCAAATTTTCAAACGCACAATTTACTGAGCACTAGTAGTCACTACTAGCTACACAATAATTTACACTTTCTGCTCTTTACTCCCTTCCTCTCCTCCTTAAATTCCTAGCCCTCTGCTCCCCTTTCCTCACCAAAATCACTGCCTTAGGGAAAAAAACAGAAAGGTAAAGACAGAGGAATTCATATCTTATAAAGAAGACATTAAGTCTCCTGTGAGGCATATGTTCAAGATCTGGCAGGTGAAGGAGACAGAGGCTTGTGAATAATGCTTCCCGCTCTCACTTTCTCCTCAATTTTTACGCCCCCCCCCTTTTTTTTTTTGGTCTCTATACAACTAAAGGAAATTAATTCATATTTGGAAAACTTTTACTGAGAACCTTCTAAAGAGTATTCAGAAACACAGATCCTACCCTCAGGGGAAAGAGTTGAGAGTCCAAGAAAGATTAAATATTTGGTAATAAGAGTCTCCTCTGAGAAAAAAATACCTCTCTAATTCATAAAATAAGGTAAGTTAGAATTTTAATTTTTTATTCTGTAACATATACTTAACATCTTACCCAAATAAAGTGTACAACCCGGTACCACTTACTGTATTCACAATGGTGTCAACCATTCTCCGTGTTTTCATCACCCGTCAAGAGACCCCACAGGTAGCCACTCCTCATTCCCTCTCCCCCAAGCCCCTGGTAACCATCATTGTGCCTCTCTCTATGGAGGTGAACAGTCTGGATATTTCATAAGGTAGAGTCACGCGCTAGGCAGCCTTTCATGTTTGGCTTCTTCCTAGCAAAATGACTTCAAGCTCCTCCATGTTGCAGCATAAGTCTTTACGACTGATAATATTCCATTGTATGATATATAACATTTTGCTTATCCAGTCATTCTTTCTGTACTATAAGTAATACTGCTGTGGACACTTGTGTACAAGTTTTGTTTGAACACCTGTTTTCAATTCTTTGGGATCTATAACTAGGAGTAGAACTGTTGGCTCAGATGATAATTATGTTTAACTTACTGCTGAACTGCCAAACTATTTTCCATAGCAGCTGCACCATTTTACACTCTTACCAGCAGTGTATGAGAGTTCTCAATTTCTCTACATCTTTGCTAACACTTGTTATTTTCCTTTGTTTTCGTTTTTGTTATGACCATAGGTAACGTGATATCTCACTGTGGGCTTGATTGGCATTTCCTACTGACAAATGCTGTGAACATCTTTCATGTCTGATGAAAGGCCATGTGTATATCTTCTTTGGGAAAATGTGTACCCACTTTTTAACTGAATTGTTTGTCTTTTGGTTAGACAAATAGGAACTTGATATCAAAGATCTGTCAAGAAAGATATATCCCTAGGTCATGATAAAATTCCTATGGGAAAATTCTTCATGATTGTTTCTTGGTGTTTTACAAAATACATTCTTTTGGATGCTCTCTCTAACCTTTGCTTCAGAACTGACTCTTAGTTTCCATTAACCAATTTTCACCTCTGTATCAGACTGCTGGAAATTTCATTTGATTTGCTAAGGGCTTCCTATCCCTCAATAAGAAAGATCCTATAATTTTAATACTGCCATTTACAGAATTACTGATTTAAGTACGATTCCATCAATTTTTTTCATATTTCCTCTTTGTATTAAAAGTACAAAGTACAGGCCCTCCTGGTGGCGCAGCGGGTTGAAGCACAGCACTGAGAAGCTTAAGCCACTTCCGCATGAGTTCCATCCCCGCCTGCCCCGGAGGCGACCACATGGCCCGGCAGACCTCTCCTGACCCGCCCACTGCTCCCCTCAGCAGTGTACTTCATAGATCTGCCTGTTCTGTTCCCCACTCTGTCTCTGGTGAAGCCTCTCACCGCCCCTGAGCCTCTGGCCTGTACCCCAGTTCTGTATGTACAAATAAATAAATCTTTAAAAAAAAAATACAAAGTACAAAGAAGGGAAAAGCTGTATATCCCGCCCAAAGTAAAATACAAGATGATGTTCGTAGAAATGAAAGTTGTGCCAACATCCTAATCACTATAATACTACAAGCTTAAACTGTACCCAACCATAATATTTTTTAAAATTCATGCCAGAATTATTACATAGAACTTTTTCTTTTAAGTCTTACATTTTGTTCTGCCAATGAATAAACAAGCTGTGGAAGAATGTCACCCTTCACAACTGCTTCTGCCAGGTCTTCATTATAATTAGCCAGTCTCCCAAGAGCCAAAGCAGCAGTCTGTTGAATTGTTGGGACCACATCCAGAAGAAGAGGCCTCAGCAGAGACATTACACCTGAGTTACATTATGAAAAAACAGAAATCAGAGAAATTGAAGGGAAAAAAGCAAACATACAGTTCAGTACACAGGCAGATGGGAAAATCAGGGAGGAAACCAGTAAAAATGTGGGCTACTTAGAAGGCTTTAACTGGCCAGGGTATAAAACAATAGAAGTTGATCAGTAATTTTCAAAGCAGCTGAACAGCATGGAGATAAGAAAGACTTTGGAGTTAGGTGAACAGTTTAAACCCCTCATTTGGCAACTACTAGCTATGTGACCTGACAGGACTGTCATGAGGAACACAGAACAAGGTGGTGACGTGTACAGTATGCGGCCTGGCACAAGGCAGGTGCTGGGGCTAGGGGCACTAAGGCATAGATCTCCCCAAGACTTCGCAATGCGCCGCTCAGGAATTAGTTAGGTCTTTTCCTCTCCATGAAGTTTTCCTACTGATTTTTCTCAAATACCACTGGTTTGGTATATTCTCTGATTCCAGCTGAATTTAGACTTTATTACAGAAATCTGATCAGAGTCTATTTCAGAGCCAGGGAGGCTCAGCAGGACCTTGGGAAAGGGTATTCATGAGGGGCTGCAAATTCAGATTATTAACATTATCTGCAAGTAAATAAATCTTTGAGATAAGAAAGTATATCCTATTACTCTCATAATATTTTGTCTAAGTTTGAATCCACAATAGATATATTGTCACCATTATCACATCAGTAATAAAAGTAGCTTGTATTTATTGAGCACTTATATACACACATTATTGTAAGGACATGTTTTCTATATTAATTCACTAAACTGCCATCATCTATGAAGTAGTCCCTATTACTCTATTTTACAGATGAAGAAATTAAGGCTGAAAAAGTTTGAGAAAATCATCACTCAACAAGCAAATGGTGAAGTAAGATTAAAAATGCACGCATTGTTTATGGATAATTGCTAAATAAGTAATATATCTCATATCTCATAAGTAATATATCTCAAGGCCACTAATAATTGTATTTTGGTAATCTTTTTTGGATATTCCCTCTATTTATATTAACTTTGCCCTCCTAAAAAAAATGCAAATAGTCAACTATTTGTATTGGTGTTTAATCTGCGTAGTGATGGTGTTTTAATCTAAGGTTATAAGGAGTAATAACAGAATTCAAACTGGAATAAATATCCTGACATTCAAATCTTACTTTACCAAGGCTATTCAACTGAAGATAGTATAGCTTTTCCTTAAAACATATCAATGATCAATACAACATTGCTAATATGCATTTATAATATCATATCCATAAATAATTAGCATAGAACAAAATGAAAACCTTTACAATTACATGTAGAAATAGACGAAAAGTAAATATAATGAAATTGCATATATAAGCAGAGAACAATGATGCTGATTCATAGATACATTTACAGATGTGATCTGTTTCCAGTCTCACTTATTAATCATTTTTATGGCTAACTGGACTTGAGTAGATTAGACCATGAACATTAATAAATATCCTGACAGCTCTGAATTTAAAGGGTGGTAGCAGAGAAGGATACAAAGAATATAAGGAATGAAGGTAGGGATAAAGATGAATAAATAAATAAGTAAATAAGGTCCTATCTCAAACTACAGTCACATTCTGAGATACTGAGTGTTTAAGTCTTCAACGTGAATTTGAAGGGATACAATTCAGCTAATAACACTATAAAAAGAAAAGTTTATCATGGTGATGTAATAAAATCATTCAACAATGGCATAAAAGTAGAAACAACTAGATGTTCCTCAAGATGCTATCAAATAAATTATAGCACCTTCACTTAATGGGTAAAATAATGTTTCTCTAAAACCAATAATGATAGGAATTGAAGATTTACTATTAAGCTAGTAAAATTAGAAGACATTATTAAATATGCTCATTTCTGTTAAAAAATGTATACATTTCTACAATAACAGAAATTTGTAAGCAGGGGTCATGGGATGGGAAACAGCTAAATGCCTTTTAAATATGTAACCTTTGATAAAGTAAAAAAAAAAAAAAAAGCAGAAACAATGCCTAGAAAGGGCAGAGTGGGTCAGGGCCTGAATTGGGGCATGAGAAAAATTTGGGAGGTGACAGTCACTCTCTTGATGGTAGTAACAATTGGTTTCACAGGTATCTACATAAAAATTAAATAAAACAAATGCAATCATGCGTCATGTTATTTTTTGCTGATCAACCTGGCAATTTCTTTGTCATATGATATATTTATGTGAAGTCAGTAGTTTCTTAACTCTCAAAATATAATTGGAAGGTCAGTCCTTCCTGGGTTATTATGCCTAGATATTTTTAATTAATTCTCAAGAACTCTGCAGTTTCATGTTAAGAACCTGATGAATTAATCCATCTGGGCATGCAGTATTTAATTAAATTACAATGAATATTGTTACCATTTTTACATAATGTTCAAGTCTCTCAAATTTGGAAAATCTGTTTGTAATTTTAGTAGTCAAGTATTTCATCCTCCCAAAGATATTTTATATAGCTATATGGGCTCAAAGGAATTTTCTACTTTTTATATTTTCTCTTTCATTTTTCTGCCTCATTTGGCCCTGGAAATAGAATGCACATTATTCTTTGTCATCCTGTATTCAGTATCCAAGTTAGGCAATCATCCACTCTATCACACTTTTCTACAATCTTCACTCAGACAGTAGCACCATGAGAATTTTGAAAAGTTAAAAATTTAACTTTTTAAAATCTTTGCTTAAATAGACATTTTTGTTAGAGAGAAAAATTCTCAGAAATATTGCTGCAAATTTCTAGTTCTTGAATTGCCTCTTCGTATTCAAAGCCATCAGTCTTCAGGGACATGTTTTTAACTTCTTACAACAGATGAAGCATAGAGATTGTTATTTAAGTTGTAGGTTTGTCCTAAAAACACAATAATTTAAGGCTGAGGAAGCATGAATGAAACTAGGTTAAGGAGGGAAAGGAAGGCAGAAAGAAAGGGAAGAAAGGAGAGAAAGAAGTGAGAAACAGGAAAGCAGGCAAGCAAGCAGCATACACAACATAAAAGATAAAGTTTTCCTTACCTGCCTGCCAACAAAGAACCCATGATGATTGATCCATATAGACTGAATGCATGAAAATTTAGAGTCCATAAATTAGTGTAGTCTGAGTACGGGCAAAATGTTGAATGGTGGCAAAACATCTGTTAAGCAAGGCCTCTAACTAACAGCTAATTACCTCACTGAGATCACCATTACAGGGCCCATGTAATAGCCAATATTAAAAAAATAATTTATATGTTATATTCAAATACCTATAAAACAATGCTTCCTATAAACACTGATAAAGTAATTTGAAAATACTTCTAAAATTTAATGTAGATGATAAATCTCGATTGTTCCCCTCCCCCATTTTCATGGTTTTGCATATTTTCTATTTTCCTCTGTCTAGCAACATGCTGCAAACATTACCTATAATACCTACATTGGCAAACCTCTTATGCAAAAGATAAAAACAAACATATTGTCACAGTGATTCATTAAAAAATTAGGCCAGGGTTTCCCAAGTGCAAGCAATAAGACAATCCCTATTTCAAGAAACTATAATCTAGAGGAGATTAACAAACAAACAAACCCCAAAGTAATCACAACTCTGTAACTTCTTTTTAAGGCAATCAAAGTCTAGTTACTCTGATTTTGCATGAGAAAGACATACATAAATCAGGAAGGAAATGTCAAAAATTCCAAAAGACAAAGAACTAATCCTCACATTACATGAATGTGTATATATGGACATACAGATATCCAAGATCTGCTGTTTTATAAAACTAATAAACAGCTCAATTTTTCTCCTTTACTAACAAGCTGTCTGCAAACTAGGCCTTTGAGTTTATTTAAATCATGGTAAGGATTTCTGGTTACCTCTTTCATTCATTGTTCCATTTTTAAGTTTTTTTTAAATTGTGTTCCTTCTTCCAGTGGTACAAAATGCATGTAATTTAACATTTTAATGATTGTAGATGAAAATTCAGTGACATTAAGCACAGTCACAATTTTGTGCAGCCATCACCACCATCACACCCAAACACTAATTTCACTAACAGACATGTCTTACCAATTAAACAGTATCTTCCTGCTTCCCTCTCCCTAAACTCTGGGAATCTCTAATTTCTGTGTCTGATTATGCCTATTGTAGGTATCTCAAATAAGGACAATCATATAATATCTGCCCTTTTCTCAGTTATTTCACGTAGCGTGTTTTCAAGTTTCATCCATGTTGAAGCAGGTTTAAAAATGTCATTTCTTGGGCTCTCCCTGGTGGCGCAGCGGGTTAAAGCACAGCAATGAGAAGCTAAAGCCGCTTCCACATGAGTTCGATTCCCACCTGTCCCGAGGTGACCACATGGCGTGGCAGACCTCTCCTGACCGCCTGCTGCTCCCCTCAGCAGTGTGCTTTGTCGATCTGCCTCTTCTGTTCCCCACTCTGTCTCTGGTGAAGCCTCTCGCCACCCCTGAGCCTCTGGCCTGTACCCCAGTTCTGTATGCACAAATAAATAAATCTTTAAAAAAAAAAAGTCATTTCTTTTTAAGGAAGAATAATATTCCAGTGTGTGTACTATCACATTTTCCCCACACTTCTGTAGATGACCACTGGGCTGTTGTGATAATACTGCCTTGAACATGGTGTGCCAGTATCCATTTGAGTGCCTGCTTGGAAGTCCTCACTAGGTCAAATGCCAATTCTATGTTTAACATTTTGAGGAACCACCAAACTGCTTTCCACAGTGGCTGCAACATTTTACATTCTCACCAGCAAAGCACAAGGGTTTAAATTTTCCCACATTCTCACAAATATTTGTTATTTTTTGCTGCGTTTTATAATAATTATCCTAATGGGCATAAAGTGGTATCCAATAGCAGTTTGATTTGCACTCCCTAACTGGCTGTGAGCATCTTCTCATATGTTTATTGACTACCTTCTTTAGAGAAATGTAATTTAAATTTTTTGCCCATATTTTGTGGTGAATTTACTCTTCT